TCAAGTGACAGCCGGAAATACGTCTGCGTTCGCAGGCTACAGTCGAGCCTGTATTGCAACAAAGAGCTTTTTCAATATTCTGGCCCCGCGAAAATTGGGGCGAGAGCAAAAACTCGACGAAAGTTGGGGTGGTAGAGCCTCACCAGCTCCGACGCCGTCGATTTTTGACTCTCGCCCAAATTTTCGTTTGAGCAGAGTTTGGTCATTCAACCTCTCATACGGAACGCTTGCTATGCAGGCCAACCTCAGTAGCGTTACCTTCTATACACAAGCACTACTGAAAGAAGCTCGCCTGGGAACAAGTAGAAGTAGCGAAACGTTAGCACAGCAAATCAAACGATTTATAGAGTTTGACTCAGGGTAGCATGTTAAAGATGGTTTTATATTTTATTGTTTCTGCTATTTTTTTTCTCTTGGCAGCGAGTAGAAATAATGACCTTGCTTTTGGAATACTATAAAGAACTCAAGGGAAACCCCGACCTCACTTACGTTTCCGATGTGTGGCTACCTGAGGTAGGTCAACATTCCCTTCAATTCCATAACGCATGTTTTTGAAGTATAAAGGTGCAAGAGAATATGACCCAGGTCATAATCTCTTAAAAGGTATGTATGTATGTTATGCGCGGTCGCGAGTATGTTGGCCTTATCGTAAGTCGGGCATGAAGTGATCAGAATTTTTTGCGGCTAGAAAATAAAACGTGTTTTCCACACGAAGTTGAATAAACCACTTAATCACATGGTTTTATGCCTTAAGAACTCTGTTCGGCGCGGAAATATTTATTGTTACGATGGAAAGTTAGCTTCAGTGTATCACTATGTGGGTTTTATTTCTCCGGTTTGGTAAGATCACTGTGAGAATAATTGTGCTTTTTCAATTGTTTTCCTGTAGGCTATAATTTTTTCAATACAAGAGATCGACAAAGTAGACCGAGAAAGGGCTGAGGAAATGTACCAGGCGGGAAGCGAACTTGCTGTCTCCAGCTCGGAAGTCCAAGAATTTACTAAAAACTTAAAGCAGAGAAAACCAAGTGCAGAGCAAGTCCAGGAAAGAGTAAAGAAGGCTGAAAGAGCACTGGCAAGATATAGTGCAGGCGAAAGCTGAAGGTTTTCTCTCCCCTGGAAATATTGTGTCAATTTGACCATTCATGGCCTCATAGGCTTACGTGAAGAAAACAAAGCTCACACTCGCTGAGCCCGCGATCCGGTTATCGTTCAGTGGTCATTCTAGTTGCTACGCAACAGACTGTATTACCTTATCTCTGATGAGCTATTGTCAACAGCTGTTATTACAGTTTTCAGCGGTTATTTTTAGATAGGCTGTGGAATAGGTTGTCGTGGAATGTCCCCAACGTACTATGGGCCAAATATTTGTAGATCTCTTAGGGTTCGTATCCGAAAACGTTCTAGCAAAGATTTTTCAAAAGACCCCTTTGACTTTAGCAAGTGCGTTGGAAGTGCAAAGGCTTTTCTTAAAGAAGAAAATCATTTTCTCTCGTGAGTTAGAGAAACTCGTTGCTGGAGATTTGTTATCCAGTCAGCCAGTTTCTTGACAATTATGCCGTTTTAACTTAGGTTAGTTTAATACTGAAAATTCGAATCTTAAGTTGTCTTACGTTAAGACCAGTCTTTTTGAGAATGAATTTAAAAGTGAATTTAGAAGGTTTTTGATGACACTCCTAGGCTAAAAAAAGTTGTTAGTACGTTCACAAAACGGAAAAGTATGACAATACATGTGCTGTATGGACAGCAGTAACTTAACCTGTTATTTCTGCGTCAGTTTAAGAACGCTTTATCAATATCCCCAGAAAGGAGTTGAATAATTGACTGGTAATTAGCAAAGGAAGAAAAGAAATTAAATTCAAAACATAATTTCAGTGAGTGGTGATTTTGTTTCACTTGAAACCATGACGATGATAGACCAGTTCTGCCTGGCTTTCGGTCATGCAACGCTACGCGCTCGAGAGCGTAGCGTTGCGCGACAAAGAGAGGGCCAGAACTGGACCATTATGATGGAAGATCTCAAGGTTACTTAAGCTTACTGATGAAAAGATACACTAAAATAAAGACACTGTTTCAAATTTCTTGTGATGTGTATGCTGTTCAAACATTAATGGACCACTGGAGGGAGAGTCTTTAAGTTTGTTCTCTAATGGCTTCTTCACTTTAGAGGTTTCATTGACCTCATTCGAATAGAAAGGATTGTGAGGGGGACACAGCTAGTAATAGTTGATCAATTACAATTGACTGATTGATTGGATGAATGATTGATTGATTGATTGATTGATTGATTGACTGACTGATTGATTGATTGATTGATTGACTGATTGATTGATTGATTGGTTCAAAGTTTCAAAATGGGTGAAAATGGATAAAATTCACCTACAGTCGAACCTCCCGTAAGCCACTACCCAAAATGTCAAGCCTGGTCGCTTACGAGAACTTAGATCATATTAGGTCTTCGACCAAAACCAACGCTCCTTTCTGCTGAATAAGTCAAGGGAGGAAATGTGTAGTTTCATTTCGCTGGCCTAGATTTCTGCGCGCAAAATATGTAACATAAATGCAATGAAAGTGTTAGCATACCAGACGTAGTCAATCGATAAAAATCGATAGCAAAAATGAATTGATTCAATCGATATCAATAAGCCAGCTGCAAAGGGCCTATCGATAACAATTGCCTATTGATACTGGCAATCGATAACAATTGCCTATTGATACTGGCAATCGATAACAATCAACTCCCACAAAATTCTTTATCAATTACTATCGATTGGCAAAAATCGAGAACAATCGATAATATCTGTCTTCAGGAATGTCAATTGTTTCGATTTTAAAAAAAATCCACAATAACCACCCAGACTATTCAAAGATGGCTTTGTTATTGTGTAAAATAATACCTGCAACAACACGAGACGTTCATCTTCAACATGCTACTAAATTATATTTTCCTTTTGGCCTACTCCGAGATTTATTCTTACGTTTTCCTAATGCAAATAATTGAAATCACTAAAACACTGACTCTGTTGTTTATTTTGCTTTATCTCGATGCAGATGCTTTAATAAGACTGGAGGGTTCCACACTGGTATTCAGTTCCGGTGGTTTGTTATAGGTGTAAAGCCCAAAATGTTCCTGTTTTTTCTGTTCTTATTATTTCCTCGATGAATGTTTAAGATACAGGTTATGATGAAATGACTCAATAAAACCATTTGCAGACAAATTTTGTTAAACATTTTATCACTGTAACTTGTAAAGGGCCAAAAAGAATTTCCGATAACAATCGATAATAATCGATACCAAATCGTAAACACTCTTTTTCCTTGGCCATCGTAGCTTTAGAAGAAACAAAATTAGATACCAGTCTTTTTCTTTTTCTTCACGTTTAAATTTCGATTGTAATCTAGTTAATGGTCACTTCTGAAGATGTATGTTGTACATACGAAACGTCAAGGAAATTAACTTTGTTTGACATGCGTTTTGGTTCCATGTTTATCACCACGGTTTGTGTTTTGTTTCTTCTAATCGATACCAATCGATGAATCAATCGCTATCGATTACTATCGGCAATCGATAACAATCGATTGCTATCGGTATTGCAATAGATATCAATCTTTGATATCGATTGTTATCGATTAATATCGATTATCGGTTTATCGACTGACTACGCCTGGTAACATAGGAGAAGAGTTCAACTTTGGTACACCGACATGTCCTCCGTTTCACTGTTTCGGAAGTGAAAATGCTCAATAGCTGTTACCCCTGAAAGCCAAGGCGATTCAAAGTCGTGTTCGTAAACAGAATATTTGTCCTAGTTTTGGTAATAAAAGCACGTTGTCTCGCATACCGACGGAACAGGCAACGTTTGTCGATTTACACGGTCCAGAACCGTGCGGTCCGGTCAGTATTGATTATTATTCTGGATCTTTGTCCTAAGACAGCACAAAGATCTTTTTCCAGTACAGAGGAGTACATGCTTGAAACGGTTTATCTGGGGACGCTACAGACTACAGCCTAGAAATGTTTAAAAAATATGTAGCTGGAACTGTTTGTAATTAACATATTCTAGTGAATGAATGAAACTTTATTAACGTGTCAAAGAAGTCTAGCCAAGGGTAAAAACCCTCCACTAAAAGGGGACACTTAAAATAAATAAGTATATATTATTTTTATTTTCTATCCTTGTAATCCTAAATTTTTAAGCTTCAGTTTTTAATTCCGCATAGCAAATTGTAGTAATGCAGATAGAGGACCACCCTAATTAACTTAGTGTTAGCTCGGTGATATCCTATGTAAATATTGTTTTTGTTATTATCATTATCTTTATCGTTGTCGTTGTTGTCATTGTTATTGTTATTGTTATTATTGTTATTGTTATTGTTGTTGTTATTGTTATTGTTGTTGCTGTTGTTATTGTTGTTATTGTTGTTGTTATTGTTATTGTTATTGTTATTGTTATTGCTATTGCTATTGCTATTATTGTTATTGTTATTGTTATTGTTG